GTTTGCAAGCAATGAATCTCAACTGAACTTGATCTATGGTTATGCAACAAGGTGGAGGAATCCACCATGGGGGGAGGGGTGTGGGAGGGGTGGGGGGAATCCCCAGCGCCTATGGAGCTGTACTACATAATACAATGTAAGCAACAATAATAATAATAAAAAAAAAAAAGCTATGAATGAAAAAAAAAAAAGAAATTTCTTTCTGTAATAAAGAAAATGTTCATAAAAAATGTTATGAACTATATAGTCATTCTTACTATGCTAGGTAAAATTAGGAATTTGGGGACTGGTATGGTAGCCTAGCAGCTAAAGTCGTTGCCTTGAACATGCCAGGATCCCATAGCGGCGCTGGTTCTAATCTTGGTGACCCACTTCCCATCCAGCTTCTTGATTGTGGCCTGGGAAAGCAGTCGAGGACGGCCCAAAACCTTGGGACCTGCATCCGCATGGGAGACCTGGAAGAGGCTACAGGCTCCTGGCTTCAGATCAGCTCAGTTCCAGCCTTTGAGGCCACATGGGGAGTGAATCAATGGATGGAAGATCTTCCTCTCTGTCTCTCTTCCTTTCTGTCTATCTGACTTTGCAGCAAAACTAAATAAATCTTTTTTTAAAAAAAAAAAAGATTAGGAATCTGTTTAATGTGAATTTTTTTACTCATTATACAAACTCCATTCAATATGATACTGGCTATGGGTTTTTTCGTATATTGCCTTGATCATGCTAAGTCATGTTTCTTCTATACTCAATTTAAGGTTTTTAATCATAAATGATATTGTTTTATCATACACTTTCTCTTCATCTATTGAGATAATCATATTTTTACTATTCTTTTTCAATTTATTAATGTGATGTATCACATTTATTGATTTGTATATGTTGAACCACGCATGCATGGCAGCAATAAACATCACATGGTTCGTTGAATGGTCTTTGTAATGTGTTGTTCAGTTCCATTACCTAGTATTTTGTTGAGGATTTACTCATCTATGTTCTTCAGGAGTATTGGTCTATAGTTCTTTCTCTGATGTATTTTTTTCTGATTTTGGAATTGGAATGATGCTGTCTTCATGACTCAATTTCATATGTTTATTCATATGTTTTCATATGTTATTCCATCATTTTCATTTATTTTCAGGAATGTTTTGATGTCCTTTTGATTCCTTCTATGACCCACTGTTTCTTAAGCAGTATGTTCAGCTTCCACATGTTTTCATATATTGCATTTCTTACTAATTTGCAGCTTAAATCCATTGCTGTAAGAAAAGATGCATTATTTCATTTCTATATTTTTTAATACTTGCTTAAAAGATGAACATATTTTATCTTCTAGAGAAAGTGCAATGCATTGAAGAAGAAAATATGTACTCTGCTGCTATGGGATGAAATTAACTGTACATATCAGTTAGGTCCATTTAGCTCATGGTACATATTAGCTGTGTTTTTGTGTGATTTTTCTGGCCAGCTCATGTATCCATTGATTAAAGCAGGGTACTGAAGCTTCCCATTATAATTACATCAGAGTCTATGTCGCTTTGTATTTATTAACAACTCTTTTATTTTTTTTTTCAATTCCTCATTTTTTTCCATATTGTTTCCTTCATGTTTAAAGAGGGGTATTAAGGGAGAAGGCCCACCCAATTTCCCACCCTCCCCAGGTCCCAGATGTAGGGCATGCTCCGAGGTTCTTGCTCAAGTGGTTTTGATATTTCAACATTTATGAATCGCTGCCAATCTTGCCACTCCAAGCACTATGAAGTCTGTGAAAAATCCACTGATTGACATAGTCCATCATAGCTGAGATGGTTGGTTGGTTGACCTGTTCTGTCTTGTCTCTTTTCTTGGTTAGGGTTCTGAGTCCAGCATTTAGATTAGGAAGATCTCCAAAGAAACTTTGTCTGAGGTGTTCTCAAACCAGATTCTTGTATGTGCTAGCAAGTACAGGGCCCGGCACAGTCCATCCCCCTGATCAGCTGGTAGAACAACTCTTTTAAATAACAAGATGTCCTAGCACAGAATGCATATACATTTACTATAGTCATAATTTTTTTTTGAATAGGTTCCTTAATTATTGCACAATGCTCTTCATCTCTTTTACATTTTTGTATTTGAGTCTATTTTGTCTGATATTAGGATGGCCAGTCCTCTTCTTTTTTTGCTGTCCATTTGCATGAAATATATTTATCCATCCCTGCACAATACAGTCCAATATTTTAGTCCATAGTGCCCATTTGTGTGCTTTAATTAGAGAGTTTGGAGTAATTATTGATAAGTAATGCCTTGCTGTCACCATTTTTCCATATATGTTATTGCTTGCTTTAGATTTCTTTTGTATTTTTTACAAGGAGCTTCTTCGCCTTCACATTCTTTCATAATGCTGACTATTGTTCTCTGTTTCTTTGTGTAACACATTCTTGAGCACAATTTGTAGGTATGGATGAGTTGAAGACAAACTTTTTCAATTTCTATTTAGGAAGGCCTTTATTTAATCTTTTTTTATAAATGGAAATTTTGTAGGATACACTATTCTGGGTTGACTTTTTTTTTTTTTACATGGACTATGTCTCTCCATCCTCTCTTAGTTTTATAAAGTGTCTGATAAGAAATCAGCTGTAAGACTGATTGGAGATCCACTGAAGGTAATCTGGAAATTCTCTCATGTATATACCCAGTGCGAAAGAATGATCTCATCCCTTAATGTCATCACTGCCTCACATCCTTTCTAGCCTTGATATGATGATATCTCACTGCTGATCAGCAGCTGGCTGTGTCATTTGCAGCAGGCTGCAACAGTGCCCATCTTCACTCCTTTTGAACCACACAATATTGCTTGGTTTTTTTCTTACTTCCTTGACAAACATTTCTGTCATCCATGCCCCTTAAATGGTATCCATTTTTTCTATTCCTTTCCCAGAGCAGCTGATACAATATGGCTACATGCTCTGCAGCCATCTTGGAATTCTAAATTTTCATCTTATTACTGATTTTACTAAACACTGACTTTGATCTGTCATGTTTTTATTTTCATTTATTTCAGGGAATTTTTACTTTCTTTTTAAAGTTTTCTCAATGATCATTTTAAAATGTACAATTCAATTTGATTTATTTGTAAATTTTGTATTTTTCCTGTTGGAAATACAGTTTCATTCCTTACATTCTGAGAAAGTGCATTGTTATAATTTAGATCTTTGAAAATTTATTAACTTAATTTGTAGTCACTTTTTATCCTGGAAAACATCCAGCTGCTGGATAAAATGTTCCACAACTTTCCTAGATTCATTTGTTGTATAAATTTACTAAACTCTGTGTCTGACTTCCTAACTGGATGATCTGTGCATTTATGATACAAAGTATTAATCTTTTCACTAGTATTTTATTGGAGCACATCTCTTTATAGATATCTTTATTCTTGTTCTAAACATCATTTTATTGGACCCAGCATGATAGCCTAATGGCTAAAGTCCTTGCCTTGCATGTGCTGGGATCCCACGTAGGCATGAGTTCATGTCCTGACTAATTCACTTCCTGTCTAACTCCTTGCTTGTGACTTGAGAAAGCAGTAGAGGATGGCCCAAAGCCTTGGGACCCTGCACCCACGTGGGAGATCCGGAAGAAGCTCCTGGTTCCTGGCTTCAGATTGGCACAGCTATGGCTGTTGCAGCCATTTTAGGAGTGAACCAGAGGATGAAAGATCTTTCTTTCTGTCTCTCCTTCTTTCTGTAATCTGAATTTGCATTAAATTTTTAAAATCATTTTTACATAATTTGAACAATTTTCATGTAATTTACAATACAGATTTGAGAGCACATTGATACTTTGTACCCTGCCCTACCTCCTGCCCATGATCCCCACCCATCCTCCTCCTTCCATATTTCTTCTTTTTGTTATTTTTACAATGGCATACTTTTAGTTCATTACACAAACACAAGCTTAACACTCCATTAAGTAAACAATTCAACAAATAGCAAGGGGGGGTGGAAAATTACTGTTCCTCAAGAGTATAAAAGCTATAGATAATAATCAAATCTCAATATATCAATTTCACTGGTGGAAATTAATTTTTGTATTCTGTGTTTTGGTTACAGGTTACCTGTCTTTTTGAAAGTGCCTTATTTCACTAAGCATAATCATTTAATTTGTTTATTCTAAAAAGTAGAGAGACACACATACACAAAGAGAAATCTTCCATCTATTGGTCCACTTCTCAAATAGCCACAACAACTAAGACCGTTCCAGGTTGAACCCAGGAGTTGGTAATTCAATCTAAAGCTCTCACATGATTTGGAAGTTACTCTAGTAACTTGACACATCCATCTCCTGTATCTTGCAGAGTGTGTTATCAGTAAAAAGTTAAAGATGACCTGGGACTTAAACTCAATCATTTCCAACAAGGAATGCTTGACATCAACCCAGCCAGTGAGGCAGACTTGTATTGTATTGATATAATTATATCATAATTATTTTTTATAGAAACCATTGATTAGTACCAAATTAAATGGGCACCTACCTAATGGAAAACACATGGACCAATTTTCTCACACAAATGGAAAAGTCAAAATCTAGTTCAATATCACATGCATCCCATCAACAACATGAAAAAAAGAATGAAATGTGGATATTTCCAGAATTTATGTATTTAATTTAGAAGCACATGTATTTTGATATTTTGTTCAAACTTATGGGGTGATTGGTTCAATTTTAAGTGTGCTATCACTAAATATCTTGCTATTTAAGATTGTCAATTTAGGGTTTGTGTTTCATGTTTTGGTACATAATATGCTTGTACTCTTGTTCATGCTTATGTGAAAATACATTTAGTTTAGAGAAGGGGAACTATAAATGTGAATTAAAGGTAGACATTCTTAGATAATAGAGATCAAAGAATATATGATTTGCCAAGATGTTACTCTTAAGGGCTTATAAATAATATTTAAGTAATTATTACCATTGCTATATATTCAATTCAAGTGTTTTCTTTTTTTAATAGCCAAGAAAGAAGCATCATGAAATATGACATTGTCATTCCAAGTAGGTATCTAGTCTTTCAAGTTCGATATTTTCACTTTGCAATACAATTTTAGAAACGGCTAATATCCTTTATTAAATAAAACAAAATAGTCTTTTTTTGTTAAAATTTCACAGAAGCATGTGTGTGTGTGTGTGCGCACACGCGCAAGTGCTGGTTGATGTGCTTGTTGTATGTTTTTGATGTGGGTTTGTACCAGCTTATTTAAAAAGATATTTTCAAATTCTTATTTTCCAGTTTATAATTTTGCAGGCATAGGGCTTACTCCCTCTTCCCCCAATCCCCTTCTCTTTCCCACACACATCATCCTCTATTTTTTGTTGTAAAATATTCAATCAGGTGTGGTCTTGACTCCAACATTCTGCTCTTTACGTGGGTCATGACACCATTGATGTAGGAAATAACAGAATATTTAATATTTTGTTGCCTAGGTATAAATTTGAAAGTTTCACTGAGGGCCTACTTTTATTTAGCAGTAGAGATTCATCCTGTTGGTTTTCTTTGATTCCTGGTACTCTGTCTGGTCTACATTATAGCCTTCATTTGTGAGATTACAAGTACATATTTGTTTACCTTCATTTTTTGCCTTATATTTTTTGTTTTACAGTAGTGCAAACATATGATATTTGCCCTTTACTGAAAAGGATATATTTAGTTTGCTCTTCATCAAATGCAAACCAGCCTTATTTGCATACAATTTCTTTGTGTTTAAAATTGACAATTATAAATGGCAAAGCACAGAAGACAAATATAACCAAGAGAAATGAAAACAGTTAGTAAATTGTGCGTTTGTTGAACTACCATTCAACTTTAGCAAAGTTTTCTTAATATGTTAAACATAAATCTGCTCATAACATTATTTCTTTACCTATTTGTTCTAGTTCTTCCCTCAATGTTAAATGTGCCTATACCATATTTCTTTACTGATTTTCTCTAGTTATTTCCTCAAGAAACATATAATAATCAATATTGAGCATAGCATGGATTTAAGGACCAAACTGTGTTTGGATCTTTACTTTGTGATTTGGCATCTGTAAATTAATCTGCCATTATGCTTTATACCTCATCTGCAAAAGGAAGATTAATGTACAATTCCAAGAGTTGATATAAAGATTAAATAAATTGGCATTATAACATGCCTAGAACACATTCTGCCACACAGAACACACTAAATGAGTGTTATCAATTGCAATTCTGCTGCCATTACTGCTACTATTCTCCCACAAAACAGGTCATCTCCAAGAAAGCTACCTTGAGTTTCCCCCTTCAACTCCTCTTCTGACGTATTTTTGAGAGTTTTATCTTCCTGATCATTTTATTATGGATGCTCTAAGGACTATGAGTGCTTTTCTTTAAGCAGAGTTCCACAAACTTAATACACTCTGGATTTATGGCCATGGTTCCAGTGCTTCCAGAGGTGATTTAGGAGAGAGAGGAGATAAAAGAAAACACAAGATTTGATCAATCAAGTAGTTAATGGGTTGCTTAATTCTCAGCACTGTGCTAGTTCTTATGGGGATGATAGAAGGAGAATTCATATTATTTGCAATGCAGCCAAAATGACTCAAGGAAGAGAAAGTTACATGAATACATTTGAACATTAGCATTTCTATTTCTCACTTCTACTGTTTTGGTTTTTTTTTTTCACTATCGTGATTTAAGTAATTATCTGTGAAAATTGATTTAATCTAGAAAACAAAATAAAGAATGTTAACCTAAACACAAGTCAATTATAAATGAGAAAGTCTGTTTATTTTCTCCCATTGTTGTGCCAAAAAATTACATACTCCAAAGAGGAAAGTTATATTATTTTGAGTTACAAATTAGGTTGAATTATCTATTTTTTTTTGCTCAAGAATATTTCAGTGATGATGAAGGCATGTTGATTAACTCCAAATTTTTCATTGCTCTCTGTCATTTTAGTCAGTAAATCTAGCAAAAAATCACGGAATCAAGGACACTTCACTTTCACATTTCCCAAACCATCCCAGCCAGGTAGAGAGGAGAGATCAACACCTGCAGAACCACAGATCACAGTTGCTGTAAGTATTAAGAAATTCTTTTTAAAAACTAAATCTAAATTATTACAACACACATAAATACAAATAAGTCTTGAGTAATTTGAATTTTATGACATGTTGGAAGCAGATGCTCCATATACGGTTTTGTAAACAAAACAAATTTTCCCCTCATCCATCTCAGAATAAATTTTTATGTGTACATGATCACCATATCAAATAAGCAATGTAATTACAACATTGGGTAAGCTGGAGGACCTAATTCTGGAGCTGGTAAAATCTATCAGAAAATGTTCACCTGCTCCAAAATCTGTGAAATTTAATCTTCAAGCAGGAAAAAAATTAGACAGGTTTCAGGTACTCCCTATGTATTTAAGTCTGGAATTCAGGATGCTTTATACTAGTATTTAAGTTTTCTTCTGCTTCTATAAAGTGAAGGTTTCCTATCAATTAACAGAAAGAAAAATTAGCACTCATGAACATTCATTGTGTGTCAAAATATTTCTAAAACATTTCACAAGGCAAAGCTACAGTCAATGAATTAAATCAGAAAATCAGAAGTCAGTCATTACATCTTTAGTGCTTCAAGTTATGCTTGTTTCTATGGGCCACTTTTAATTCTGTTTAGAATTTGAATGTTGATGCCTATATTGGATTTGAAGGAATATAAGAAACAAATCTAAAATCAGTCTCTGTAAAGCCAACTTTTAGTGAGATTTGATAATAAGTCACAATTACTGAACAAATTAGTCTGGATCAAACATGTTTGTTTCATTTTATATCCTTGGCTTCCTTTTTTCATATTTATAAGTAGAGATCTCAAGTTTTCTATTTGACTTGAGATTTAAAGGCAAGAGCATAAGTGAACCTAGTCCTGCAGACTACCACTGTCACAAGAATTGTCATAGCAAACTTCAAAATGATCATTTTATTTCTGAGTTGAGGAAGAAGTGATTGCAATGGTTTCCTCTAAAGTCTCTTCTATATAGGATTTTAAAGGGACATACTAGTAATGTCAGGACATACTACAGAACATCATGGATCATTATTGTGGACCTATTCCAATCCTAACATGAACCATAATGTAAATCAAAAATCTTGCTTTACATTCTCTCCTATCATCATCTTATTTCCAAAATGAATTTATCACACACATACAACCTTCATACACACAGACATAAACTCAACTTTGAAAGGTAGAAATAATTTTTAATTTTAGAAAATAAAAAGATAACATTTTTCTTGTTACAATATAAAATGACATAACTTACTCTCAAATGTTTATCATTATGCTAATAAATCTTTTCAGAGACATGACAAAGGAAAATTAGAGGAAGATCAGAAGACTGCTTCTAAATGCATAAGGCATTCTTTAAGAGAAAGTTTCCAAAGTCCAATTATTTACTCAGCTGTCAAAAGAGAGGCTCCATTCAGGTATACTAATTCTCCCAAATCCCCTCCTAAAAATGTACAAGCTAAGGCATCTAGTAATGACATAAAAGAAACAGCTTTGGAGAAGAATTTCGAAAGAAAAATGAATCTATACACCACAAATTCAGAGTCTGTGAAAACAATGCAAGATGAGAAATGTAAAGAGAGTGCTAAAGCACTTAAATCACCATCAAAAACATCACTTGAAAGTGAACAATTTAAGGAATTGAAGCCCAAATCAGAAACAAACCAAGAATCCAAAGTGCTTACGGTAGTCTCAGGAAAAGATAAAATTGATAGTAGGAAAGATTCAAACAATTGCAAGGAGAAAGGTACTTTATCCATATGTATCAACAAGAATCCAAAGAAAGATGCTAAAAGCAGCTCAAATAATGGTTGTGATGTCAAGTTAGATACTCGTTCAAATGATAGTGTAAATGTGAGTCTATTGATAGATTTAGAGGACTTTGGTGGTAAAGCCATAGATTTTGACATCCAGTTTAAAAATTACTCACAAAATAATTCAAAGAAACCTGCAAAGAAAGATGCAAAGAAACCTGCAAAGAAAGATGACAAGAAGAAGGATGCAAAGAAGGATGCAGAGTCTACTGATGCTGAATCTGGAGACTCTAAGGATCCAAAGAAAGATGCAAAGAAACCTACAAAGAAAGATGACAAGAAGAAGGATGCAAAGAAGGATGCAGAGTCTACTGACGCTGAATCCGGAGACTCTAAGGATCCAAAGAAAGATGCAAAAAAGGATGCAAAGAAATCTACAAAGAAAGATGACAAGAAGAAGGATGCAAAGAAGGATGCAGAGTCTACTGACGCTGAATCCGGAGACGCTAAGGATCCAAAGAAAGATGCAAAGAAGGATGCAAAGAAATCTACAAAGAAAGATGACAAGAAGAAGGATGCAACATCTACTGATTCTGAGTCTGAAAAGGATTCTAAGAAAGGAAAGAAAGGTGAGAAGGGTAAGAAAGAATCAAAGAAAGATGGCAAACCAAAGCCTGCTGTTTCAGATTCCAAGTCTACCGATGCTGATTCTGAATCTGAAGGAGATTCAAAAAAGGGTAAAAAAGATGACAAGAAGAAGGCTTCAAAGAAAGACGACAAAAAGGGTGCAAAGAGCACTCCAGCATCTACTGAAACTGAATCAGAAACAGATTCTAAGAAAGGCAAAAAGGGTTCAAAGGATAAGAAAGGTTCAAAGAAAGAAGCTAAGCAGGCTATAAAGGACTCAGAGTCTACTGATATTGAATCTGATGTATCTTCCAAGGCAGGACTCAAAAAGGCTGCACAGGCCAAAAGTTCAGATGCTGAATCTGATGTCTCACTAGGTAAACCTGGGGCTAAAAAAATATCTGATGAATCAGATGCTACATCTGTGGAATCAAAGAAGGGAGGAGGAGAGCTAAGAAGAGGACTCAGAATGTCATCCAAAAAAACAACTTTCAAACCAAAGGAGAAAAAACCCGTAGGTAGAGTGCCTCCATCGAGAGAAAAACCACCACTTCCTCCTTGTGAGCCGTTGCAATCATCACCTAAGGTCAAACGTTTCTGTCTGTGCAAGCCGATTCCTCCACCTCCAAAACCAAGATATGCTCCTCTGGTATGTTTAATTCTGTCTTACTTTTAGGACAAATCAGATTTTTAAATGAAAACAAAAATGTGTTAAATATTTCAGTTTAGATTTTTCTCTAAAGTATAAATCTCCTTTATTATAATAGTGATACATTTGAGAAAGCTGAAGGCTACTTTAAAAGGAATCAAAGATTTGCAAGACAAATATTTTAAAATTCTGAGATGAGTAAATACTTGTACTAGAACAGAAAAATTGTCTTGTGATTTAAGTGAACATTTTAAGTTATTGGTAAATAGGGTCATTTTACAAAAGCAGTTATCTTTTCTATGCTTAGAAAGGAACAAAAATCAACATTGACTAAAACTTGCTACAGGATCAGACTGAAGTGCAATATAGACATTTTCAGGAAAGTAGCTCAAGTAATAAAAGTCCAGACATAGTATATGTAAATATAATGTATGAAGAGTCATATGTACAAAAAATTAAGTTATTTAATTCCTATCTGAGCTCAAGTTTTGTGAGTCCTTATTTTCACTTATACCAAGGAAAACTGTTAATTTACCAGAAGTAACTTGATCTCCTCTGGTTTCTAACAATCCTTTTCAAGTTAATTCTATTTCTGTGAGGCTAAATACTCTGTCAGTTAAGTTCCAATTTTTCCCATCCAAGACACAATCCTTTCATCTTCAATCCCAAATAATCTCTTTTTAAGGAAATGCAAAAATAGACATCCGTTTTAGGACAGGAGAGTTGCCATGCCTCATGTTCACCCTCTCTGACTCTGTTTGATCTCTGCTTGATGCCAAACTCATTTGCATGGTTTCTGGGCATCAACCCCTGTTTCTCCTGTTTTTATGGTATTTTGGTGAAGTCTCAACAGGATAGAATTACTGCCCTTCATCCTGACAAACAGAAATGTTTTTTTCTATTTTTGATTTTTATTGCAAAGTTAGATATACAGAAAAGAGGAGAGACAAAGATCTTCCATCCTTTGATTCACTCCCCAAGCAGCCAGGAGCTGTGCTGATCCAAAGCCAGGAGCCTGGAACTCTTCCCGGTCTCCCACACAGGTGCAGGGTCCCAAGGCTTTGAGCCATCCTCGACTGTTTTCCCAGGCCACAAGCAGGGGGAACTGGATGGGAGGCAGGGCTGCCGGGATTAGGATTAGAACTGGTGCTCATATGGGATCCTGGCACGTCCAAGGTGAGGACTTTAGCCACTAGGCAACTGTGCCAGGCCCCAATCAGATGATTTTTAAAACACAGTGGTTTGTTTTTATTTTTGATTTTTGTTTGTTTTTTAAAATATAGATATTATAAAGCCCACATTTCCCTCATCCTCAGCAGGTGATCAATCAGCAAGATTTGTCTACCATGCCTTCGAAATATATCCTGACTCAGTTCACTGCTCCTCATCTTCATCAGTGCCAACTTAATGGCCTCATTATCATCGCCTAATAAGAGTGGTCAACTAATTTTACTGTCTCTATTCCATGGCACAAAACATTCTAGTAGTTTTCAATTATATTCAGAATAAAAGTCAACTTTCTTACTCTCATTTTCAGTGCCTAAATTATATAGCCCTGCATATTTTCCACACTCACATTGTACCGTTTTCTTGTCCTTACAATCTGGGCAAACGGACATTGTTTTCTTTTCTTGTATTTATCAATATTGTGTATCTGCTTGGTTTTTGCATATGTCATTCTCTCTGATTTTATTTCCCTGTCCATCCCCTGATATTTATATGCCAAATCTTTTTTTAACTTAAATATACTTTTTAAAGAAGCTCTCACGTGATTATCTTATTCTATATGACCTCCTCCTTCACCACTGCCTAGCTTTCCAATCCATTTATTCTGGTTTCTTTTCTTTTGTAAAATTTATATTTGCATATAATTTTACATTTAATTAATGTGCTTATTAATTATATTCACCATTACAGTTTAAGTTCTATATACGCTTATACGGAAAACCTTTTCTTTTTTCCATTGCTATATGAGCAGTTCCAAAAGCAGTAAGTAGGAGCCTTTTTACTGGTTGAAAATCCCTAAATAACTGCAAATGATATTGCCCTAGTGTAGTTACTAATGTCCTTTTTCAGAATTTCTATTCTAATAATATCAAACTAAAATGAGCAAGGCATTTGGGAAGGGTGGGAGAAGTCACAAAAGCAAGTGATTTTTACATTCGAAGCGGGGCATCTGAGAAATACATCTATGTCTCTCATTTGGGGATGGAGAATTTCTTAATAGATTCTGTTAATGAATTTTAAGTCATCTTTAGTATAGGATTGGAAAACCACGCTCTTGCTCATTCCATCTCGCACAGGAGTTCAACTGCTGCTCATCAGAATATGCGGTCACACAAAATGACATGGTCCAGGATTAGCTCTATTTATATGCCTGGAAAGTTGTATTTTTTGTATTGATATGTTTTAAAGTTTATTGTGTTTATAAAGGTGTGCTAGTATATCAAAAATTGTATTCCAAGTACATTGCATAGAATAATTTTACTTGATTCATACATATACAATTTGAATATTTTAATTTCTATAACACACAAGGAAATCCTTTTAAGATAGGTGTTGGAGGTAGAAGTTAAGATATCTGCTAGGATACCCACATCTCAGAGAATCTGAGTTTGAGTCATACTCTTAATTCCACGTTTTCTATCATGAACCCTGGGAGGTAGCAGATGGTGATTCAAGTATTTAGGTCCCTGTCAGCCACATGAGACATCCATGATATTTAACCATGAGCTCTGGCTTCAGCTTGTCCTGACCACTTACAGGCATTTGAGGAATAAGTCAGGAGATGAAAAATCTGTTTCAGCCCAGCGCTGTGGCTCATTAAGTGACTCCTCCACCTTCAAGCACCAGCATCCTATATGGGTACTGTTTCCTTTTCTGGCTGTTCCACTTCCCATCCAGCTCCCTGCTTGTGGCCTGGGAAGGCAGTGGAGAGTGACCCAAAGCCTTGGGACCCCACAGCCACGTAGGAGAAACCAAAGTAGCTCCTGACTCCTGGCTTAGAATAAGCTCAGCTTTAGCCATGGAAGGGTGAAACCGCAGATAGGAGATCTTTGTTTCTCTCCTCTCTGTAAATCTGCCTTACATTTTTGAAAAATTAAAAAATAATAACTAAATGGAAAATCTCTCTCTCTTCCTAAATAAATTAATAAAAAAAATATTAGAGAGCAAAGCCCATAATATAATGGTAGGAGACAGAATTGAGGAAAAATGTGTGAAGTTGCAACTAAACAAAGTTCTGCCTGTCTGTACACAAAGAGTACAACTTACTATTCAAATGGGAAAATAGTTGTATTATGCTGGCAGAATCTGGAATAGCTATGAACAATTTTTAATATATTTTTGTGTTATTATATCATATTTTCAACTGAAAAATCTTCCCCTTTAAAGTACTTATGAGCATGCAGACTTAATAATGGAACTTTGCTGGCCCTCATTTCCCTGTGAACACTGGTGTTCAATACTCTAGTGCTTCTCCCCCTGCAGGGTTCTTTAGGATCACGCAGGGAGATTACTGAGGACATATGCTATCAAACACTATCAGCAGAGTCTTTGAGCTGATATTTCTAGATGAACCGGAGTCCTAAACACCTGCACTTCTAAAAAGAAAGAATAAAAATGATGCATACGTTCTCTTCCATTTATGACATTTAGTGCTTTGGTGTGATTCTTAACATATTAGTGATTTTCTATAACTAATAGACAAATAATATTGTACTTTTAAGTTTTAATTTTTTTCTACTTCGTTCCTCAGCCTGAAGCAGAGTGGATTCGCAAGCTGCTTTAAAGGGCAACTGAGCACTTGGTTTCACAGACTGGCCTTATCACAGTGAGCACTGTAGTACTCTCAAAAGAGCATGTCAACTTCTGTGGAACTTTAATAAAAACAGGTCTGCAATGAGTATCATGAGTTTTTTTGATATGTTTATAGAGATGTGCTATTTGTTTATTAAATGCCTAAACTGAAAATTTCTATAGCACTTTACCCCATCCTGAAATTTCAGTCTTTCAAACCATTTCTGAGTTTCTATTGAAATATAGCAATCTTCCTTGGCATGCCTTTATTATGTTTAGCTAAATTTCTGCTTCACATAGTCTTCAAAATACATAAAGCGTGAATGGAAAGAAAGAGTCATACATATGGAAAGGAAGCACTCACAAAGAGTCTTTGCTTGGGCAATCTTTGGGCAGATTCCCAAAGTAAAATCTAGACATATCTGAGTACTTAAAAGACTCCATTTTTGCAGTCTAGCAAGATTATCTTTCCTGGCATATTTTCCAGATTTATTTATTTGTTTATTTGAAAGGCAAAGTGAAACAGAGTATGTTCATGTACACATGAACATGTGTGTGTGTGTGTGTGTGAGAGAGAGAGAGAGAGAATGCAAGCAACAGCAACAGGTCTTCCATCCACTGCTTCACTACCCACAGGATTGGTCCAAGCAGAAGCCAGGAGCCTGCTGCGTTCTGATGCACATTACACGAAATTGGATAAGAAATAGAATAGCCAGGACTCAATGCTTCAATGTGGGATGTTGTAAAAAGCAGCTTAATCCTCTGCAGATTACAGATCTCTGAGCTGCTGTGACAAGAAACACATGGCTCCCCAACAGTCATGGGAGTCATGGCAAATGTGGTATTGTGATTCTATCTAATTTGAACTGTGAGGAATGTTTGTTATTTCTATTCAATACACATCATACAGAAATCTTTGATTTAATGCACATAACAACTTTTTTAATTTTTAATTTTTCATGATACAATTCCTTAGGCTCAGGGATTTCTCCATCCACTCTTCCCCACCCTTTCTCCCCAACTGTTTTCCCCTATATTGCAACAATAGTTTAGTCCTTCAACAACTGTTGCAAGTCCATCATTCTTCTATTTAAGCATATCCTGACACGCAAAGTATAGCATTCATCTTGCACAGCATAGCCTCTAAGCCAAAACAATGATGCTTAGGATCCATGAGGCCCATGATCTGCTCACTCAAAAACCAGTGCAACAGCATGCCACAGATGCTGCCTGTCTAGGTTTCATGTGGCACCCATACTGCCCATTCCCACACAGGCATATTAGTATCACAGGGGTGTGGCCTGACTAGGACCAGTTATGCCTGTGGCCTTCCCATACCCAGCAAAAGCCCCCCACCTCCCACTCCCTTCGCACAGTGGAACACCCTCCACGGCACCACTTCCTCCATGGCACAGTGAAACACCACAGTTGTCGCCTGCAGAGGAACTGATATGCTCCTGGCCTGCCTACTCCCAGAACAACATGGTGGTACCCCAAGGGAAGGTCTGGGACCCTAGTCTCCTGCGCTACCTAATCCCAGAAGGGTACCGCCAAGCCAAGAGCTCAGCCTGCCCAGTTGCCTGGCATACAGCCAGTGGTCTGCCGCTCCCAGACCAGCTTGCTGGTGTGCCACATGAGCCACCTGCCTAGGACCTGAGGGTCTAGCCATTAATCTGCTACCACAGTGGTACAGTGGGCAATACAGATATAGCCTGCATACAACACTGGCCTGCTGCTTCTAGACCAGCATGGTGGCACACTTGCAGGAGTGCCTTGCCTAGGACTCTTGAGGCTCCTGGCCTACCCCCTTCCAAACCAACGTGGTGGCACACCGGCAGGTTGTGCACCACAGATATGGCCTGCTTAGGACCCAAGATGCCCCTGGCTTACCAACTTCCATACTGGCAAACCTAGGTGGAAAACATAGATCCAGTCTGCCTAGGATCTGAGCAACAGGCCCCTGGTATACTACTCCCAGAATTTAAGAGAAGTACACAAGGTTACAGCCTGCATAGGATCTCACCATCCAGGCCCTGGCCTGCTGTCCCCAGACCAGCGCAGTTGCAAAGAGCAAGAGTGGCTTCCCTAGGACCTGTGTGGCCCAGGGCCGGCCTACTCCCAAAACACCAGATTGGCACATCACAGAGGTAGACTGCCTAGAACCACAGTGTCAGGCCACTGGGAGTGGCAGGCTCAGGCCTGGATACTAGAGTCATAAGCCGCTGCACCTGCAATACATTACTGCACTATTCTGGGAGCAGGTGGGGCCAAAAACCTAACAGATCTGAAACTGGTACAACCCGTGGTCCTCCCTCATGTTGATGTGGGAGCAGACCTGCACAGTGACATACTACAGGTGTAGCCTGCCTAGAACTTGTTTCAGGCCCTTGCTCTGCCACTCCTATACAAACATGGTGGCACAAGAGGGATTCAGCCTGTCTAGGACTCTTATTCTACCCTCTAAGTTGCTACTCTCACAATATTGCATATGAGCAAATTATCCATGGGGAACAGCCTGCCTAGGACCTGTGAGGTCCCTAAACATACCTGCCCCCAGACTAGTGTATTAGCATGCTGCCAGTGCCACCTGCCTAAGACCCATGAGGCACTTGACCCGCCTGCTCCCAAAATAGTGCAGTGGCACACTATGAGTGCAGCAGCTTATGAGTCTGGTATCCAGTCCTGGGCCTGCCACTCCCAGACCAGCACAGTGCCATTCCAGGGTTCAGCCTGCCTAGGACCCCAGCTTACAGCCTTTGACCTGCTGATCCCAGAACAGTGAAATGGTATAGCAGGGTAGGGGCTGCCTAGGACCCATAAGGATCCTGGTCTTCCCACTCTCAGATGGGCACAATGATACGCCATGGGTGCAGCCTACCTAGGACTCCAGAGACTGGCCCTGGTGTGCTGTTCCCAATCTAATACAATTGTGCACTCTGAGTGCAGCCTGCCTAGACCCCTGGCTTCCAGACCTTGGATTCCCCACTCACAGACCATGCAGTGCCACACCACAGCTATGATCTACCTAGGACCCCACCAACTACTGATTCCACACCAGTGTGGTATCACACAACAGGAGTGATCTGCCTAGAACCCTGCAGACCAGGACCCTGGTCTGCTGCTCCCAGCATGGCACCATGGTATGTCACAGATACAGCATGCCTAGGGCTCAGCCTCCATCTCCTAGCTTGACACTCCCAGACCACCACAGTGGCCCACCATAGAAGTGGTCAGCCTATGCCACGAGGCATATCTGTCCCAAACTACAATGTGAGCCCGCTGCAGGTGCCACCTGCCTTGTACCTGTGTGACTCCAGCCTTACTTCTTCCATATCAGCATGGTGTTATACCACAGGTGTGGCCTGCTTATGACCTGTGAGACCCCTGGCCTGCCCACTCCCAGACAAGCACTTTGTCAAGTCATAGATATGGCTGTCAAAGACTCTAGCATCCAGCCCCTGGCCTTCTACTCCAAGAACAACATAGCAGGATGTCAGAGGAATGACCTGCCTAGGACCCATGAAGCACCTGGCCTGCCTGTTCCTAGACCAGCTTAGTGGTACAGCATGGTGCAATCAGTGTAAGATTCCTATTCTATAGCTCCTAGACAGGTGGAGTGATGCACTATGAATGCGGTCTACCTAGACTCCAAGCTTCCAGCTCTTGGTATCCCTGTTCCCAGAGCAGTGTTTGTGGCACACTGTAGGTGCAGCGTGCTTAGGATCTAAGCTTCAGGTCCCTTACCTGCAACTCCCATAACGCTACAATGTCATATTATGTTAGTTGCTTTCCCAAGACCCATAAGGCCCCTCACCTGCCCAATCTTGGACCTGCTCATTGGTATGCCATGGGTATGCATTGCCTTTGACAATGGTCCCTGGCCTACCCACTCTCTGGCTGACATATTAGCAAGCCATGAGTGCCACCTACCTAGGACTTGTGAGGCCCCTGGCCTGTCAACTCCCAGACTGGCATAGAGTCATGCTTGCAATGAGGCCTGCCTAGAACCCCAGCATAAAACCCCTGCCACACCAGAACCATGCAGTGATGTGCCATGGAAGTAGCCTTCCAGGGACCCATGAGGCCCCTCAATTGCCTGATCCCAGACTGGCATGTTGGCACACCACTGGTTTGACCTGCCTAGGTCCCCCAGTGTCCTGCCCCTACCCTGCCACTTGCACATGGTGGCATGCTAAACCCACCCATTGATGTGCCACAGATAAATCCTCTAGGACCCCAGGATCATGTCCCTGGTCTGCCACTCCCAAACAGACATGGTGGCATGGCACAAGTACAGCTTGCCTAGGACTCATTAGGCCCTGGCCCATCTGCTCTCACAATGGTATGGCTACTCTCCAGGGATCTGGCCTGCCTGTAGCCCAGCATCCAGTCCCTAAACCGTCACAGTTAGAAGAGTGTAGTAGCAAAATGGGGGTATGGCCTGCCTAGGCCCTATGAGGCTCCTAACATGCCTTGTCCCATACTGGCACATTAACATAACATGGGTGCCACATGTCTAGGACCCATGAGGAAACTGGCATGCCTGCCCCCAGACTGATAGGAACTGGTAAGGCATACCAAGTGTGGGCCTATCTAGAATACCCAGCATCAGGCCCCTGGTCTGCTGCTCCCAGAATGGCACATGGCATACCACAGGTACAGCCTGTATTGTACCCTAATATTCATCCCATGCATAGCCTGCCACTCCTGGACTGGTACTGTGGAACACCACAGAAGTGGCCTGCCTAGGACCCATGAGGTCCCTAGCCTGCCTGCTACCAGACATTGGCATGTCACTGATGTAACCTGCCTAAAAGCTCACCATCAGGACCATGGTGAGTTGTTCCCAGACTGGAGCAATGGTGCACAGCAGGTGCAGCCTGCATAGAACCCTGGCTCCCAGCTCTTGACATAACTCTCCCAGATCAGTGCAGGGACACACCAATAGTATGACCTGCCTAGGACCTCAGAGTCACATTCCTGGCCTGCTGCTCCCTGATAAGTGACTATTCTAAAGCCATTGTCTATGGCTGCTTTAGGGTATCTCACACACTTAGGTACTTTTTGTAGACATTGGCCTGAAGTATAGACCAAACTGCCTAAAACA